TAACTAATGTTAGTTAGCTACAACTAATGTTTTTAACTAATGTTAACAAATGCAACCTTACTGTAAAGTGTTAGCCAATAATTTTATGTCCACTGATGTAGTTTGTCACGTTGTGTTATTCTCTAAAAATCTGGATGGTGATGACGGTTTGGCTAAGACCTGAGGATCTCAGGTGTGAAGTCACTGTCATATTCAGACATCAGCAGTGAATACAGACTAACAGACCTCGAAGCAGTACTCCTGGCCGAGGATGCTGGAGTGGACGGGTTTGATGACGGCATCCTCGTCCAGCGTGAGGTCCAGAGCCTCGGCCGCGCTGCTGGGAGACAGCAGGGACTCGTGAGAGTGAGACTCCTTGAAGCTCTGCATGAGACGTGTCCTGCACACACACAGATGGAGCAATATATATGTGCTGTGCATCTGTGTGACTCACTGAAGCACAATTGGAGAGTGAGTCACTGCATGCATTGCAGCAGTGTGCGTGTGTATGAGAGAGAGAGTGTGTGTGTGTGTGTGTGTGAGAGTGAGTGTGTGTATGAGAGTGAGTGTGTGAGTGAGTGTGTGTGTGTATGAGAGAATGTGTGTGTGTGAGTGAGAGAGTGAAAGTGTGTTTGTGTGTGTGAGTGAGTGTGTGTGTGTGTGTGTGAGTGTGATTGTGTGAGTGTGTCTCTGTGTGTGTGTGCGTGAAAGTGAGAGAGTGTGTGTGTGTGTGTGTGAGAGTGAGAGAGAGTGAGAGTGTGTGTTAGAATGTGTGAGAGAGTTAGAGTGTGTGTGTGAGAGAGAGTGTGTGTGAGTGAGAGTGAGTGTGTGTGAGAGAGAGAGAGAGTGAGAGTGTGTGAGAGAGAGAGTGTGTGTGTGTGGGTGAGAGTGTGTGTGTGTGAGAGTGTGTGTGTGAGAGAGAGGGAGTGTGTGTGTACCTCTCCTGGTCAGCGCTGCGGAATCGTGGGAGGATCATGTGGCGAAAGCTTCCTGTGCGGTCGAGTTTGGGTTGGCTCTTTGCTCGTTTAATTGATCCTTTCAGACGGCGACTTAGAAAACTCTGTGAACACAAACACACAGAGTCAGTGTTAGCGCAGGACAGTGCTGATGCAGGTAGAGTTTCTCCAGCAGAGGGCGCAGTGAGTCAGTGATGCTGTTCCTGGGCCGCGAGTCACTGCAGCTGCTGCCCACGCAACGCTCGCTGTGTGTGTGTGTGTGTGTGTGTGTATGTATGTGTGTGTCTAGTGATCACTTCACTTTTAGCACACGCTCAAACAAACCTCGCAACCAACTTACAAGCATATTTCAGGAAAAAAACCTAGAGCGTAACTTTAGTTGATTAGATGAAATGATGGAATCCCCCTCAGGCTATCCCAGATCAGGATTGTGATGTTTTTATCAGCTGTTTGGACTCTCATTCTGACGGCACCCATTCACTGCAGAGCATCAATTGCTGAGACACTGATGCAATGCTACATTTCTCCAAATCTGATGAAGATCAAACTCATCCTAATCTCAGATGCCCTGAGGGTGAGCACATTTTCATTTTTGGTTGAACTATTCCTTTAAGACATTTTGATTAAAAAATTCTTCATAAATAATAATAGGGCTGTCGCGATTCGTTGCTTTTATTCGACAATTCGATTTTTAAAAATCCTCGACTTCATTTTGTTTCGTCGACTAACGGCAAAATACCGGAAGTGGCGCATTTCACGGACGAGATAATAATCAAAAGCATCTCCAATTAATTGATTTTATTAAAAAAAAAAGAAAAGAAAAAAAAAAGTATATATATATATTTTTTTTTTTCAGAAATACTGCACATTTACATTTTTCTCCTAAATAAATTCTGGTAAATAATATTTCTGGTAAATACTCCTTTAAAAGTGTTTTTTGATTATAATTGTATTATTAGTAGACTAGAACACGTGGATATGTATG